AAAAAGAGTCTGCAAGTGTTATCGAAGAAAGACTCTTGAAGAGAGATTCTTGGCAATGGAAATGAGAGAAGAGACTCTTCGAAGAGAAACTCTTACACGGGAAACGAATGAAGAGTAAGAGAAGAGAGTGACTCTTGAGAATGGAAATGATAACATCACTTTCCTTTCTACCTTGCATCTGCACAAGGTCACCAGAAAGAAAAATCCTTGCCAATAACAAAGACAAACATGAATGAGAAATAAATGAAACAAGAATCTGAAATAAATGATACAAAAAATTGATTTGAAAGACAGAGAAGAACCGGTGCATAACATCACTTTAATTTCTACCTTTTAAAGAAGGTCACCAGCGAAGAACGGTAAAGTTCATGTCCACCGATTTCTGCAGCACACAAAAGGAACAAAAATCAAAGAAAAACTCTGACTAGTAACAAAGACAAACAAGAACAAGAAAAAAGAGTATGTAGAAACAGAAGAAAAGGGAAAGAAGAGTCTAGAAGACAAGTGCTATGGAAGAAAGACTCTTGAAGAGAGACTCTTGACACCGGAAACGAATGAAGAGTAAGAGAAGAGAGTGACTCTTCGAAGAGAAACTCTTACACTGGAAATGAATGAAGAGTAAGTGAAGAGAGTGACTCTTGAGAATGGAAATGAGAGAAGAGAGTCATATAATTATAAAGTGAGAGGAGAGAGTGACACATCACTTCCATCTGCACAACGTCATCAGATTGAGGAACGTAATACCCATATCCACCAAAAGAAAATGAGTAAAAGAAGAGTGACTCAGAAGAGAGTCATATAGAGAGAGAGGAGAGAGTCACACAACATTTATATAGAGAGAAGAGACGTCACGACGCATTAGATAATTTAAAGAACTTCACTTTTTTAAAAATTATTTATGTTATATTTCTATTAAATATTCTCATTTTCAATTTATAATTTATAATGATATATAATCTTTTATATTACCATATTTTAAATTAAATAAATCTTCACAAAATTAATTAAAAAGGACAAATAGGTATTTTTATTTTATTTTATTTTATCATTAAATAAAATAATTAAAAAAACACATTTTAAATATGTTGATGGGAATAGTATGAAATCAAATTTAAAATTAACTTTTGCTTGTAAATAAAAAAAAATATATTTTTATTTTACATGAATAAAAGAAAATAAGATAACCAAATTCAAAATAAAAAAATATAAAGATATTATAAATAAGAATATATATATATATATATATATATATTATTATGATTGAATTTAATTAAATAGAAGACTTAAAAAGGTTAAAATCATTGTATTAAACATTGTATTATATTATTTATTGTTTATTGTTAGGTGATAGATGGATGTAGTTGATCTAAAGAGCATGCACAAGCGCAAGCTTGAGATACGGAGTTTGCTGCAACCAAGGTTTTTTTAATGTAAAAATAATCACCTGTTTTTTCTATTTTTTTTTGCATTTGTTATACTCTTTTTAATCTCTAGCTAGTCTCATGGATAGGGCTTATGTTGTAATACAAAATGGTTAATATTGTTTTTATTTATACTAATGGATTCAAAGGCCTCAATGGATTGAGATCTGCATTAGGAGCAGCCTTGATGTTGTGCTCATGTAGTGTCTGAGAGCTTGTGTTGAGTTCTTTGAAGACGATTGTGATTTTGAAGGTACAAGTCGTCGCACCATTGTAGATACAGATGTCAAAATCGGTCAGCCCGAGCGGTCTACCTTAACCCACTTTAAAAATGAGTCAACCCAACCCAATTCACTTTTGATTTTCTAAAAAAAAAATTGGCGCGACCCAGCCCACCACGGGTTGGTGGGTTATACGGGCCAGCCCACCAGCCCACCAAAAATTTTAAAAAAAATTATCAACAAAATTCAAAATTTTAAATTAATTATAAATTAACATAATAGTCATAAAATTAGCACCATTAATAATCATAAGTCATAATTCATCATACAAAATTAAATACAAATCATGATAAAAGTCCAAAATAAAAATTTTCAATATCCCATCATATAAAATTAATTGCAAATCATACTTAAATTTTATTGCAAAAAATAATTGGTGGATTGGTGGGCTACCCGGCCTATCACGGGTTCAGTCTGGGTAGGCTGGGTCAAAGTGGGCCGGGTTGAGATATACCCACCTACTATAAAACTTCAATTTTTTTTATCCGGCCTGGCCCGTTTTCAAGGTGGACTAGTTTGACCCACGAGCCTCAGTCCACTTTGACGGCTCTAATTGTAAATCCGAATGATATGTATGAGGTAATAGTTCTTATCATAGTTTGCAATAAAATTTATATTTTTTTTTCTTTATAACTTTTAAACTTGTATTCTTTTCAATTTTTATGGGATTTTTTTAACATTACTTTTAAGCTTTTGATAAACCTTGTTATACATATTTTATCTAAAACTATATATTCCTGGAAATTTTTTATAAATCTACTTTGATTTAACTTTTTTCAACTTCTAGCGCTTCTAAGCTGCTTTGACACAATTTTGATTCAACCTTTTCAACTTTCGTTGAAATATATTTTTTTTTTCCTACTTTTGACTTTTTATTATTTAAAAACTAAATATCCATAGATAATATTTGACTCATTTTTCGTGCAAGTTTATTACAAATTTCTTTGATAATTATATTTTCATTGAAATCTAACACTATTTAACTTTAAAATTTTTCAACTTCTTTTAAAATAATTCCTTTCTACATTGAACCTTTTATGATGAAAATATTTCTTTTATAGAAACTATTACCCAATTTTGATGTTGCCTTCTTACACACTTTTTCAAAAATTATGTTCACTAATTACTAATATTTGCTGATAAAAAAATTATATTTGAATAGAACTTTTAAACCAAATTATAAAAATCTTATTATATAACTATTTTTTTTTATGCCAGATAATATAATTAATGTTTTTTTTCTCTGTATATTATTAATATTAGTTAAAATAGATTAGAGTAGACATAAATAATTTTAATTTTTAATTTAAGGCGGAGGCCAACTTATTTATAATCTCACTCACTCCAATCTTTTGTCACAAAAATGGAAAGCGCTCTTGAGTGAATCCAGTTTACCACCAAACAACACTCCTGCAAGTGAAATAATGGGCTCACAAATGCATGGACAAAACATTAATGATCGAGTTTATACTTATTAAACTATGTTACAAATGACCACATCATTCTTTTTTCTTTTATGCAATCATTATCCTTATTAAAATCAATAAAAAAAAGAAAAACACCCGGTCTTGAAAACGACACAGACAGTGGAATCAAAACAGCAATGAAGACAGCGAAGGAGTCCAGTCTCATTGCACTTTAAACAGAATAAAACAAGAATCAGAGAAATCGACAGAAGAAACATCAAATACACACCAAAAGATCTATAGACCGAATGTCGGGTGAATTTTTTGAAGAAAAAAAGATGAGTGAAATAATGCGTGAATTTTTTGAAGGAAAAAATATTGGTAAAACAAAGCGGTAAAATAATTGCTGATAACTTAAGATAGGTCTATTTTAAATTTAGCATGATGGTATTTGATGGATATTGGTTAATGCCTTTATTGTGGATTGGTTTCTTTTCTCACTATCACTTGTTGTAATTCACCAGGTTGTATTTGGTTGCTGCTAAGGAGTTATCGTTTGTTTTTTGTGTGATAAGATGGTGCATGTATCTCTATAGTTCGCTTGATTTGCTGACTGAGTTGTTAGAGTTTGTTTAGAAATTTGTTTACAGAAATGTTGCATTTTTCGATGTGTAAAGATTGAAGCTATGCTAGTGTTGGATTTACGTTGAATGTGAGTCAGATTAAATGGAATTGATATAGTCTACAAGGAAAATGTATTTCTGCCTGAGGTACAAGTTTGTGATTATATGAATAATGAAATTTTAGCAGTCTTGAGGCCAATTGCATGTAACAAGGAATTGGTGTAATATTCTGGCATCAAATTTCAGACAGGATTTTGTATTTCAATCTCTGGAACTCGCAGCCATATAAAAATGTAAACTTGTAAAATTGACTTGGTATAGGAATACTTGTATCAAAAGGATTCATCGAAGAAACTAGCCAAAGTTTTGCCGGGTCTTAAAAGGGTTTTTGTTACGGTAAGGACTTTGACCCGAGTAACATGACATAATGTTTATTAATCTATATTTTTATATCTATATCTATATTATTAATAAAAGGAATTTTTTCATTTCTATTCCTTTTTATCATTTTCATTTTACCCTTAATAATTATACATAACTTCTAATAACTATACAAATTACATGGGCAAATTTGTTAATTTTCTCTATTATAATGTAGGCATGTAGTGTCTTTTTTATTGCGTCTGAAACTCCATATTCTATAGTACCGAACACGCGAAAAAGTATAATTTTCTCCTTACCCGGCCTATTTTTGTATTATGTACACAAACAGAATTAGAAAAACATGTATAAGAAAAACAAAATTAACTCACAAAATGTCTCAAAAATTCTCCAGGAGGCTACAGTAGCGCACATCCAAAACCCCTAGTATTTCTCCTGTTTTCCCAACACATCACGCCATATGTGAATGGTTGAGAACCATGGCACCAGTGCTTCACCCTTGTCAATGATCCTATTGACCACCCTGTTAATCACCAGAAGCGAGGTATCACTGAAACAACTCCAACACAATGCAAAGCAATGAACCATAATTCTCAATTTCTTATCCACCCTAAACATAAAAGTAAACACCAGCAGGTAGAACTACTGCTGATCCAAGACTCACTCAAAAGCCTGCCTTCATTTCCCAAAGAAAGGCAAGCACTCTACTTGCCATCTACATCTTATAAATAGGCACCAACGAAGCTTGAGTTCAAAAAAGAACCCATCATGCTTAATTCTCAATAATTCAAGATCCATTTTCTTAAATAATTGCCAAGGCAAACCATGCCAACAATGTGAGGTTTGAAAAAAGAACAAAGCTATCATATTAATCAAACATAGTCCATTTATGATCATAGTCTACAACTTAATAGGCAGGAATTTGAGAAAAAAGGTTTCTAATTGGAAGCTTTTAAGAAATCACATATTCTTTAATTATCATTTTTATGTCACAAAAAGACAATAATCAAGAATTTAAAAGTTATTCTACCACGTGATAGCAAGAAGAAGGCATGGACATAGTCCCTTAAACTACAAGTCAATTTGCTTTTCAATTGGTGAAAAGATGAATTATCACAATAAAGTTTGAAAAAAATCACAACAATAACTAAAAAAGTAAAACTGTGTCACAAACAAGTCATGGAAACACAACCCCATAACAAGTGCAAGAAATCAAATCATTCATGCAGCACGAGATTTTAATTTCTTCAGGCGTTTGACAGAAGGAGAAACACCCTTAATTGCCTTCCTGGCCTTCTTCAGTTTTGGCTTTTTGGTAGGAAGAGGCATCTCCCTGATGGGACCCGGAGGCACACCCTTTTTCAGTGCACTTCCTCTGGGCGTTGCAGAGGGAGGCAATCTCAAACTCTGAGGAGGTAAAGGACTATGTGGCTTCCACACCAAGTTATTTTTCATCGAAAATCTTACCTTCTTTGCACTCTTCTCCCCACTCATTGCCACTGCACTCTCCTCACCATCCAAATCAGCAGAATCCTGAGACGCCTTCCCTTTCAAACTCTTCGTCCTCTTCCTCTTCTTAGACACATTTCCTGTATCAGATGGCGATTCACACGCACTCGCAATTCCATCATTCACACCCCCCTCCTCGGCAACCTTCTCAAATTGCCTCTGGAGATTCGCAATCACAGTTTCATCCAACAACACCGCCGCACCTTCATCATTCAAATTCGCACCATTCTCACTAGCTACATTTTCCTTGTCATTCGAATCCCTCGACACATCACCCTTGTTCTTCTTCTTCTTCTTCTTACTTTTGCTGCCACCATCAACAGAACCGTTAACATCCTTCTCGCACTTCTTCAACAACTCGCCATTACCATCAACCTCGGCAGGCCCCAACGGAACCAAGTCCGGCACTTCCTCATCATCAACAACATCAGGAACCGCGAAATCAAACCCGGACTTCGCCACATCCTTCTCAAGCTTCAAAAACTCGGAATGCAACGCAAACAGCACCTTCCTATTCCCCTGAACACACTCAGCAGAAGACGCCACCTCATACAACCTCCCAGAAAACCCCATGACCAACGCAACCGTCCCAAGAAGAAGAACATCATCACGCGAATCAACCTCTTCCCCAGCCTTCCTAAGCTCCAACAACCTCCTCCCCATCTTAAGCAAAAGATCAAACACCCCAGACTTGATCTTGGCCAACAAAACCTTATCATTGACCCTCCCCATGGCAGATAAAAAGGGCTTAAAAAGCAGGTGGAGAACCTGAGTGTTGAGCGGGAGAAAAGCGCGAAGCTCCTCGAGAAAGACGGTGGCAATGTGGTAATTAACGCCGTTGCCGTGGGTGTTAATATCGTGGGAGGAGAAAGTCCCCTGGTCGAGAAGGTGGAGAAGGTGTGGGTCCCAGGAGTGGGTTTTGAGGAGGGAGAAGAACTTAGCGAGGAAGGTGCGGATGAGGAGGTAGAACTTGTCGAGGCGGAGGGCGTCGATACCGGACCATTCGCGGCGCATGGTGAGGAGGAAGGTGGAGAAGTACTGAAGGGAGAGGGGGCGGTGGAGGGAGAGGAGGAGGGAGGAGAGGCGGTCGACGAGGTCGTGCTGGGCGAGGGGCTTGTCGGAGTGCCACATGCAGTAGAAGAGGCCCTTCCAGAGCTTCTTGGCGTCGTCCTCGGGGAGGGGCTCCGCCTGCAAGGGGAGCCACGATTTGAGGACGAGGCGGAGGGATTTCTCGCGTGTGGCCTTGTTGCAGCATGCTAGCTGCTTGATGAGGGCACCACCCTCCATTCGAGAACGGGAACGGGAGAAGGAAACCCTAGATGAAGACTGATTCAATTCTGGACACCTTCTTTTAACAAAACCCTAACGGGTCTCACTCTGGGTCTGGGTTATTGGATTTTACCCGTTCCCTCTCAATCTTCTACTTTATACTTCCCAATCAAGTCCACACAGTCCTGTTCTTATTAAAAATAAATTTGAATAATAAAAGTGTGTTAGTGTTATGATTAATTTTTAAATTTTTAGATTTTTAGTATAATAAATATATTAATTAATTATCTACTTTTTAAAAGAAAAACAAATATTATTTTAATAAAAGACTTTTTATTTTTTTTTTATATTTAAAAAAAGAAAGAAGAGAACAATAGAGGTTATATAAGACATAATAAGATTAGATGAGTAATAAAATTCATAATATTTTTTTACTAATAATTATAGATATTATATTATAAAGATTATAAATTAAAAAAATATATGCACCAAAGTATAAAATAACATTATACTATTATTTAATTACAAACCACTGCATATAATAAGTTTGTTAACTTATTAAAAAATAAATATTTCGAAAGTTATATAAACTATATTTTTTTATTGCTAATAGTGTAATAATTTTTACATTCAAATTGTGATTGTTTTCTATTTTGGTCTTTTTCTATTTTGAAGTAACGTTTATTGGTAGTGAAACACCTGGTGCTTTTTGGTTAAAATAATCTTGGATAAAAAAATTATCTAAATATATTTAGATAATTGTCACAAATGAGATTTGAATATCTATATAAAATTTTAAATATAGTGGAATACTGGATAATTATTTGATAGATCAGAGATGACATAATAAACTATATCCAAATATATTCACGAATAAAAACCACCATAAGTTGTAAATAAATAATTAAATAATAAAGTAAATATAGATAATAAAATATTTGTATCGATTTTAAAATATTAAAAATACTTTTAATTACTATATATAAAATAAATTGATTTTTATTATAAAATATATGTCAAAGTGTTTCGGTACCATATGGTTTCATACGGCGCGCTAAGGTATTTTAACCACCCACTCAACCATCTCGTGAGTTTATAATTAAACTAATAAAGAGAAAAATAATTATAAATATCAAATTTATTACAATAAAAATGCTTTATGTATACCAATAAATGAATTAGCGTTAGATGAATTACTTTTTATGCAAATAAAATAGGCTAAATTGTTTTTTTTAATTCACAATTTTATCCTTCTATTTTAAAATAATGACGATTAATTATCATATTTTTAAAAATATAAAATTTTGATTTTCATGGATATTTATTATTTGTTAATCATTATTTTTTTATATTATTTAATAAATTGTCACCATTTAAATGATGTGACATATATAAAAAAAATAAAAACTAATCTTAAAAAAATTGTTCATATATATTTTAACGAGTGATTGATATTTATTTTATTAATAAATTTTTTTTAAACTTTTTTATTTCCAAGTATCATATTATTAAATGTCGCATTCCTTAAATATAAATAAATACATTTCAATTTAATAGGAGAATTAAAATTTTGTATTTTTTTAAATTAAAATGACAAAAGGCTTATATTTTAAAATAAATAAACTAAAATTACATATTAACAAAAATAAAATGACCAAAAATACAATTTAGTCAATAAAAATATAAATAGAGACACAAAGTACATTAATCTCGCTAATAAATGACAATAAAAATATGATTACATAATCTTGAAATTATTCTTACTCTATATATAAAAATCATAATAGTTATCTAGAAAATATTTTTAAGAGTTATTTTTTAATGAAATCAATTTTATAAAATTTTCTTAAATCACTTTTGACCTATCTCTTATGTTTTATTTCTAATTTATATTTTAATATTTTTAAAATAAATTATTAATTGTTACAAATATTCTCATGTCATAATATAAAGTGTTCATAAATCAAAACTATAATTTGATTGATAAAAAAAAACATGTATTTATTATAATTTTAATCACTTTAGTATGTATATAAATTAGAATAATTCACTCTATAGAAAACATACTCCTCATTTTTTATGAGTTCATGAAAGAACAAGTTTTACTTTCTTTTAAAAATGATAAAATAAGTCACGACTTGTAGGTCAACCCACTAGTCCATAAAAAATTGGTGGTCTTACTAACTAACCTAGTCTGTCAAGTTAACAAACCAAATGACATGTCAGAGCAAATTGATCCACCAACTCACCTAAATTTTATTTATTACTTTTAATATTAAGTTTAATTAAATCACATCATATTTATTATGTTTGTAATATGTGATTTGTTGTACATTTGATTTATTTTATTATTATTTTTTTTGCAATAAATTTTTTAAAAGAACTATTAATATTATAATAATATACCTATTTTTTTATGCATCAAATTTTATATTTAGTATGCGTTAAATCAAATCAAATTTTATATTTATTTTATTATTTAGATACATTAATTTATATGAATCATTTAAATATTAAAAACAAATATACGAAAAGAAGTATTTAAAATAAATATATAAACTTCTCGTCTTGAAGTGGAGGCTCATATTTCACTAGTAACGACATTGTTTACTGGTTTCGCTGTAATCTCATGCGCAAGCATGGAGTTTATTTTGCTATATGTGGCTGGTTTATTTGGAGAGCCAAAACTGAGGAAGTTTTCAATGACGAGGTGGTCTCTTTGCTTCATTATTAATTTATTACCAATCAGATTTTATTTGATTTACTTACTTCTGTATTTTCAACGACATTAAGTACAGGTAAGGTCAAAGGTGAACTCCTCCAGTCCTCCTTACGTTTTGAAATTGAACATAGTTGGTAGCTCCTTGGACAACCATTCTGGTTTTGGAGGGGTGATTTGTGATTGAGACTGACTCGCATATGGCCTTTGGCTTGATAATGAATAATGAAAACACTTATCATCTTTATTTTTCTCAATTACAGAAAATTCGTGAGTTTATGTGCTTTACATGGAATGTCAAGTTACAATTAAGATAAAGAATGTTAAAATAACTTGAATATAAAGGTTTGGAAAAATAAATTAACTCGATAATATAAGAGTAAAGTAAGAATTAATGAGTTATAATATATCACATGTCAAATATAAATTTAGCCTGTATGCCCCAAATTTTCAAATTACAGCAATGTAAGTAATATTTACGTGTTAAGACATTCCTAACACCTTTTCCTTGTGCGGGGAATTACTGTTGTTGCTTTTGCTATGAGGAGCATGTCTTGATACAGCTTGCTTCCATATAAGATTAACATATTCCGGATGATCGACAAAAGGATTACGATTATGCTGATAAAATTTGCATATCCTTTCATTTCTCAGTTTTTCTTCCCTCGAAGGCGGATCAACTTCATTCCATTTTAATAAAGTGGAAAGAAGTCCCATCTCCCTGTTTTCTGCAGTAAAAATATAGTATTATTTTCATTAAGGTGACATCAGCTTCAACTGAAACAAAAGTAATAAAAGCTGGAGTGCATTAATTAGGTTGCAAAATCATGAGAATCAATTCAGAAGTTATTTTCTACAACTCTACTTAATACTCCTGCCGTATGATGGCATTAGTAAATCAAAACCAATGAAAAAAGTTTTATGCAGTTGCAGTGTTCAAAAGAATAACAAACTAAACATCAGAGCAATCCTTAGTCTTAAGCTCATTTCATGTCCACTTTTACATTGCAGAGTAATACAATATTCAAAATTAAACCTTTAAAAGTGTTAATAATATACCATAAAAATATTGTCATGAAGAATCAATTATTTAAAGTGTTAATAATATACCATAAAAATATTGTCATGAAGAATCAATTATTTAGATGCAGAGTAATGCAATAATCAAAATTAAACCTTTAAATGAAAAGTGTTTTAAAATGTACCATAAAACAATTGTCATGAAGAATCAATTATTTAGATGCCAGGCTTAAAAGATTCGTGCATCTATGAGACTACGACTAAACATGTGCGTTATATGATAAAATTACTGTTAGAAGAAATATATAACATCAAGTTATAAAATTAATCGTTCCATAAAAGCAAGATAATTTGATCAACACGTGTAAGGCGTGTATATTCCCCCTTGGGGTTTGCGTTCAAAATCCAAATAGGAGTGTTGAATGAGAACATCAATAATTCAAGTGTTAAACCTACCAACGTTTGGGGCATCCGAGAGGCGAAGGCCTGGACTTCCCCCTGGTTGTTGGAACCCATAACAGACTGCCATGTACATTAATGCCCTTGCTATATCGCCTCTAACCTGAGGTTAGTTTAAGTTCAACAAATATATATGGAGGTAACATCTCAAACAACGATTGAACAAAAACTAAATTAATTGTCCATGAGAAGAAACATCAGAGCTAATTATAAATAGATGGAGTACAGTACTGAGACTTTCAGTTTCACCATCTATCCTGATTCCTTTAACAGCTGTTACTGGTTTGTAGTGTACAAGTTACTAGTGAAAATCAGCTAAAACCCTAAATTAAAACAATTTGAATACAAACTTAAGGTCATAAGCTTAGTCCAGATTCTAGAGTAAAATGCTCCACCCCAGTCCAATACACCTTTAACCAAAATAACCCTCAGGTGACATAATTATAACAGCAATCCTTAATGGCTAAATCCTAAAATTTGGACACATAACCATACTCATACTCATAAGTCATAACCACAATCTTGACTAATTACATTACACCTGTCCTAAACTTCAAATTCATAAAATAACTTATGATAATTTCAAATAACCTTTAAGAACTTCTCCATATTTTGCCTCTCAAAGAAATGACTTGACTTGAAAATCATTAAAAATCTCCCAACTTAACAGTGGGCAGGAGAACCCAAATTATAAATTAACATATGACAGAACTACTAAGCCAGATATGAGATATCCATCAAATTTCAAGCATGATTACCAATCAGTTATAAGGCTTTGAAAATTATAATTAAAAACAAAAACAAATGACAAAAAAGAAGACCTGCATAGGTGGTGCCCACCTCTCCTTGTCTGCTTCAGTGTCCAAAGCAGCTTCTTTGTTAGCTGGCCTCAAACATTTGGTTGAGCTAGTAACACATTCACCATAGTACTTGTTCCCCCTTGATGAATTGACTGAGATATACTTGTAACATGAACTGAAATTGCAAACTTTACTAGTCAAATGTCGAGCAGTTGTTTTTCTTACCATTTACATCAGCAGGGCGAATGTTGTGTAAATCAGTCAAAGATGGACCATTAGTCAGTCCATAAGAACGAGGCCATAGATGCTCCCCTGTAAAAAAAGTATATAAATAAGTGAATCTCTCACTCTCGGTGTGGGTCCCATAAACTTAACCTTAATCCTGCTACAATACAAGATACCCTAGGCAAAATATAAAAGTCTCTCTTCCATCCCATTATATGATTAACCTTCTTTATTATATCTACATTCATTCTGGTTCATGGACTGTCATTGAACTAGTGTTTGAAACAAGTTTCATAAACAGTTGGGCAGTACATAAGACTTGAAAGGTTAAGCACAAATTTTTGCAGATTTGGAATGACCTAACGAGATTAAATACAGTATGTTTCCTTACTAAATACACATTGCATTTTCTCCCTATAGTTACAAATATGAACAGACAACGCGCATACTACAAAAAGGTGGAAAAAAAAATTGAAAAATCATATGATAATTAAGTCTAGTGAGAAACTAACATCCAAATCATGGAAAGTCCAACAAATTCATTAGTTGACTTGACTCACTATTCCATCCCTGCGGTTTTCCTGATAACCTTTTGGGGACAACTCTCAAGGAGTATATTTCAACTCTGCACAATGCATACATATCACAATCATTAGATATATATATAAGCTAATATGATCAAAAGCACGGCAAGTTCATACATTCCTGATGAAGCTTGTGGATTATCAACATCAGCAGCATCAAGAACCTTGAGGGCATCCCACACCTGTTAACTACACAAACATTTCAGGTTGTACTAGATTTAAATCAAAATTGATGAAGCTTGAAGCATGCATATTTAAACCACGTATGACCTCTCTGTAGGACAAGGAACGATGTGGGGCAATGATGCTATTCAATTGTCTCTTGAGTGCTTCGCCTCTTAATCTTAAATTCTTCACGGGAGAATAGTAATTGCTAATATTCTCACAAGCATAAGTAGAAGGAGTTGGATAATCAGATGCTGCAGCTACGAGACTGAGAGATAGCAAGTAAAAGGAGATAATTCTAGAAAGCCGTCTCCATGAGAAATCAAAACATGTTAGCCACATTCGTTCCCTCAAAGCCCTAAAAAATGGGAATAGCACTTAGCTTCTCAAATAACAACCACAACACAAATTATTTTATCTAGATAATTAAGGAAGACGAAAACAAAAAGCTTCTATATCCGTTTAGTTATGAACTAATTTTCATGTGAATAGAAACATGGATCATAGGGCGACACTTACGACGTAAAAGGAGGCACATGCCTCTCATCGATGTTACTAGAAATCGAAGTCGGCGGTTTTTGACGGCTTGCATGGGCGGCACAACCGCGGCAGCGCGGCGGCGATGTTGGTCTTGCGCGTAGGTGAAGTTGGAGTGTTGCGATTCCCGGCGAGTGCGAGCGGCATGAAAAGAATGGGGTTGGCATCAGCTCATTTGTGCCTAACCTCATATTTGCAACGAATGAATAAGCCACTGCATTATCTGCAATACAATAGAGGTGAGTTTTCTTTTTCTAATTTCTATGGTGAAAATGCATTTCAGAATGCACCACCATTTTGGTTTAAAAGAATCAAACTGGTTGGGCAGGGACAGATATAGAAAAAGATGACAAATAAATTATTCATCTAATAGATTATGTGATTTCACAAGAAAAGAAAAATAAACAGAAATGTTAAGTATACTTACATGTTTAAAAATAAGAAGAAAAATAATAAAATCTTATAAACCAAATAAATTTATTATAAGAATAAAATAAAAATAACTAGATCAAATTATTATTATCATAAAAACTTATATATAGTTTTAAAAAAATTTATGGCATGTTTATATATGTTCAAGGTATATATTTTTACTTATTCTCATATCTACATGTCGAAATCAAATCTTATATATTTAAATAATAACACATAAATTATATGAAAATATTTTTTGGAGCTTTTTTAAACAAAAATATTTTTTTAAAAATTCTTTTTTTATAAAAAAAATTGTAGAGATTATTTAATTTTTTTATATAATTTAATTTTTATTTATCATATTGCCAATACAACGTTCAATCTTTTCATCCAACCAATAATTTCCTTGTTGGAGCACCCAAACTATATCCTTCCACCACCAAGAATCCCTCTTATCCACATTTGGAGTCTTAGGAAAGGACTCAATGCACCCATACCTACCTTGAAGAACCTTAGCCCATATCGTTCTTGGAGAGATCATACACCTCCACACCCACTTCCCCAATAGTGCCCAATTGAACAATCTGACATCCTTGATTCCTAGTCCACCCTTATCTTTTGACTTACATACCGTTTCCCATTTTACCCAAGGTATCTTTGATCCATCTTTGACACCTCTCCATAAGAAGTCACGTTGGATGGCCACAATTTCCTTAATCACCGAGTTCGGAGCTTTAAAGAATGACAAAAAATGGATGGGCATTGCGTTCAAAACTGCATTAATTAAGGTTACCCTCCCCCCAATTGACAAATACCTATGCTTCCAAGAGGATAGTCGTTTACGTAAGCCATCCAATATCGGTCTCCAAGTAGCCAACTTCCTAGGGTTTGCTCCAAGAGGTAATCCCAAATGCTTAAACGGTAGTTGACCCAACTTACAATGCAAAAAAGAAGCCGCCAACTCAGTAAAATCTTCCCCGGAGTGAACTTAAAAGTATATAAAAAGTTGTGTATACTTAAAGGGGTATCTCCTTTGTTACTAATATAAAAAATATAAGTATATAAAAATTAATTAAATTACTTAAAAGTGTAATTTTTCTTAGAGTTGTTTTACTGAATAATTTACAAATTATATTGAATTTTAATTATTTAATCATTAAATTGATATATTTTAATAAATATATCAATGTTATAAGATTTAAAAATTATTTAATACATTATTTTATTGATTTAAAAATTCAAACTGGTGTATATTCAAAATATATATTATATATTAATTTTAATATATATATATATATATATATATATTTGAATTGATATTTAAAAATAAAAATAAGTTTTGTAGATCCTATATTGATTAATTAGTAATGTGACAAAAATATAATATATGTAGTCTACGCTAGGGTTTGTATATATGGACATTCCAGCAACAATGACAAACCATCACAGTGGCCTCAAACGTCAACACGGCAGATATTAATTCTTGTACAAAATCATGCTCCTTATATATATATATATATATATATATATATATATATATATATATATATAATCTTTTAATGTATTTAAAATAATAAGGAATCAAAAGTCGTATTATTGAAGTTTGATTTCTTATGTACCAAGACTTAAACATGTACCAAAATTTGAATTATAACTTAAACACAAACTTGTGATTAAATTTACTATTTTATCTCATACATAGTGATTTTATTAAAATGAGTTATATCTCTTTTTTAGAAAAAACAAATTAAGAGTGTGATTTAAGGGATAAATTATAATTATCCTTTTACTGTATTCTTATTCTTATTCTTATTACTATTTACATACAAAAGTCATACACGCATATTAATCGAATTTTGTATTATATTAATATATATTTGACTTGTTATTTTTTAAAAGTGTTTTCAAATAAATATTAATTAAATAATAAAATTGGTTTCGTATTATATAAGAAATATATTCTTTATTTATATATTTGTATAAGTGTTACTTTATTTACATTAAATGCTATATTAAAATTTTATCTCAAAGCTTGAAAAATTAAAATTAATTTTTGCGTTAAAGATTTTTTAATTTATTTAAAATAATAATAAACTTGAAATATATATATAATTTATTATATATTATATTTATATGTAAAAAAATATATTTATACATTACAAAATTAAAATATTAGTATACATAAAAGCAAGTCGCAGTTACTTCAGAGTGAATTGCGCCAAGGTTCTTCAACGCCCACCCAAACGCGTTATTACTTAAGTAAACACTAAACAATTAAAATAAAAAAAAATTGTTTTTTAATTATATTAATATAGATTATAATTTGACTATTTCAAAATATGATATATCATAAATAATAATTAAAAAGATTAAATATGTAGAAAAATTTAAAAACAACTTTGCATGGTTTATTTAAAATAATAATAAAAATCTAATTTGAGGAATAAATTATCATTAACTTTTTTATTAGTATAAGTTATCATTATCGATATATATAACAGAGAGAAATAGATATTTAATGTCTCTCTATTTCTTATAAAAATATATATAATAATAAAGATAATATAATAGGTGTTATTATAAGAGAGTGAGAAATTTGTATGGAAATTTTGTGAGAAACTTATGGTGGAGTAGAAAAAGAGAAAAATGAAATTAAATAAAAGAAAATAATGAAAAAATGTTATAGAGATAAAATTGTTCAAAAGTTTTTTTTTTTTTTATAAGCAAAAGAATTAGATTAAAAGGAGTACAAGGGGTACTCCAACCCATTACAGAAGATTTCAAAACCTAATAAAAAATTACGAAATACACAAACGTGGGCTAAAATACCAATTAGAGTAACTAAAAGAACAACCAGGGACAGAACTTTTAATCCACTTCCATGACCGCATTTTAATATTGTCCAACACTTCCTTGCAATCCATTACACCTTGCTGGAAAATTATACCATTCCGATGAAGCCATAGTGACCAAATTACAGACACCCAGACCACTTTAAAACACTGCTTGGATTTTTTATAAATACCAAGATTCGTCCAATATAGATAGAGAGAAGTTAGGGAATTTGGAAGGACCACCTCAACCTCCAACCAATTGGCTACAGATAACCAAATATTAAAAGCCATTGGGCACAATAGAAAGAGATGAATAGGGTCTTCTATAAATAAAGAGCAAAGAGAGCAAAGGTTATTTTCCACCTCCACACCACGAACTTGTAACAATGATTTGCAAGGGAATGCATTCATGAATACCTGCCAACAGAACACCAAGCACTTGATCGGAGCCTTGCATTTCCAAAGACTTTTTGTGACTAGAATAAAATCTGAAGAATATGAAAGTTCTCCACCCATCGAGTGTTGCAGCCAAGAGTA